CAGGATGCAGATACGTCCTCTTTGCCTCTCATATATATTGCGAGTTCAAACTTTTTCCTGCTATCTATCTCAGCCAGCTGGCCCCAGGTGACGTTTGGCGTGAAGGTGTGGCACAGGAAACGTTCGTTGGAGACCCAGGAGCGCCAGGTTCCCGACTTCACCGCGATGGTCCCCCCTGGGTAGTCGATGTCTGCGATCCTGCGGCAGCCGGGGCGGCAGTACTTCAGCTGGTCTTTCAGCGACATGCTGGCCATCCAGACGCGGCCTGCCACGGTTACATTGCGCAGGCGTCGGATCTCTCTCGAGTACCAGTCGTACCTCGCGCCGCACACCGTCACGCTGGGCACGTCAACATCCGGTCTGGGCGTTAGTGTGAGCGTCATGGAGATGGGCTCGCTGAAGAACAGCTGCAGCAGCTCGTGGCACTGGTAGCCGGCCAGCACGGCGCAGCCGAGCACCAGCAGGGAGCGGGCGCGCGCCGCCGGGGTCCGAGCCCAGTCCGGTAGCCGGCGCATGGCGAAGCGTGAGGAAGCACCCCGTCCGCCCGGCTCGGGGCTAGGGGCGTAACTGCGTCCGAAACCGCCAAACCGCCTCGCTCACTCACGGCAACATTCGAATATCGATTGCAGACGAGCTGGGCCGAGCGTCGAGCCGTTAGCTCGCAGCGTACCCTGTGACAGTTTCGCTTTTTAGAATGAAGTGAATGCAGCGGCCTAGCTGAGCAGCTCAGGAGGGCGGCTACCAGCACATCTATAAGCCTGTCGTTCGTCACCTCTTAACACCTCCGGCGGGGAAATTAAAGGTCACTAATGGCCACACTCAGCGGGTCCAGCGACGTTAATAATGAACATATGGAACATCCAGGCCCCAGTCACGTCTGCACACATCGGTTTACGCGGCCATGTTTCAGGAGACTCTGACATCTGTCTCTGTCATAGTTTGCGTGATCGATGCCGCAGGGTAGGATGCATGCGCGCTGTTGGCGCTCAATATTTTATAGCAGGGGCTGACGATGAACAAGGTCGAACTTTGACGCTGTTTGTTAGACAAAGTGCACTGGGAAGCGCCCACGGCAGGGCGTCCATCAGCCGGCACGAAACGATGCGGGCCCTTCATCACAATGGCGACGCGGGCGTTCATGAACCGGCACGAAGACAAGCGATACATACTGCATTATGCCAACCACACGCGCGAGGTGGCCTGACGCGCAGTGGTCGGCTCGCCTTACGCAATTATAGTTCGGATATGGCTTTTCAAAGAAGGCCAGCCGGCCGTTGGCTTGATAATATCCTACTGACAACAGGGCGACCAGGAGTTGTGGAGATCGACGGCATGCAAAGAAAGTATTTTGATGGGGATACGAAGCAAGGTATTAATGTAAAAGATAAGACATCGAAATATGTTAAGACCTGTGTGAGCTTTTCTAGCCTTATGACATATTTAAAGTGTACAGTAAGTGTTGTCATGTTGTGCACTTATCGCATACTATAAATGATACTACTCACACAGAATGCATTCGCTGCTGGCACCAATGAGATGTAAAATGCGTAACAGTTGCGCGAAAATTTTAAGGTTGTCTACATTTCCAAATTTGTTTGTGCTATAAGAAATGGCTCGAAAATCCATTGGTTGTGGTGGACATCATGACATCATGGCTTTTTATTTATTTGGGGAAGCGTTGTGGAACCATGGCCAGGATGGTACCCCTTTAATCCTGATATGTTGGTGTCTGGTTGCGATAAACACATATAGGAAAAGGGTACTCAAATGTGTTCGGCATTTCGACAGGCACACAGCATTACCACCATTCATATCGCATCAAGTCATGACGACTTGACTGCAGGCAGCAGAATCAAGTGGAATATCTAAATCTCGAAAATCGTGGTGTATTTATGACATAGCCGAACGTCGCTGGATGTGGACCGGTTGTTTTAAGTCAGAGGTCCATGTCGAGGTCTATGATCACGGGTCCACTCGCGTACTACGCACATTCAGATGTGATCGCTTTTGTCTTCTCGTTTTCTTCCGTACTGATTTCTTTTGTTATCTTTTAGGGGAACTTCATTTTATTTTGCCCGCTAGAGGTGCGACATCAAAAAGTATCGACCATTCCCTGGCGCGTGCCGTGTGGGGATTGAAGGTCCCGACCGGCGCCGCACGGAGCCGGTACGCGATTGGTGTTTCAAACAAGGCCGTGCTAGGGATGCAACATGGAGTATCACTAAAGCGACGACGCGCTTCAATTCAAATTCATCTGAAAGCGGGTGTTTGAACCTCATTTTATCACAAAAGTACAAGAACATTTTCTTTATAAAGCTCAGCAAACCTTTTTTATGTGAGAGACTCATGCAGCTATAACTAGTTATTTGCTTACCTTGCTATTGCAAGGTTTGAAACATCAGTATGTAAAAAACTGATAGATTAGTGTGGGCCAAATACACCACGGATGGGCTAACTCCACATTGTTGGGGAGGGGGGTAGAGCAGCTCGACGTCCACCCCTGTGGGACAACTGCCGATAAGCGTGGGCATAACATAAAGCAGCCGAGGTGGCGACTGTGGGAATTGGCAGATTTTTGTTGAGCGGATTTTTGCGTGGTCCCTTCGGTTTGCTATCTCTACGCTGTTGTGAGCGCGTCATGAGCAGTCAGCGAATGTCATTAAGCGCTCTGTGTGGGATTCGGCGCTTTCACTCGCTTCGCCAGAACGAGGGGAATGCGTTCGACAATTTCGATTGTCTCTGTGGTTGTGGAGTACAATCCTCGCGTTCTGAAAGCTGTGGGCCCCATCTGTGACCTTACTTATGGCCACTAAATGAAAAAGCCGAACGGAAATCTGCATATGTTAGTGAAGGTCTTCCAAAACTGGTCGGGTGATATCCGAGGATGGGAGCGTTCGGGCATTGCAATATCACATTTAAGCCATTTGCTGACCTGGGGGTTGATGTAAGGTCACCTATTGAAACAAAATAGCTGGTCATTCATTTTTGATTGAATGATGCAGGTTTCAGGGTTCTCGGCTGGGTAGTTTTCAAGGAAATGGTGTGTTAAATGTACGAAATATTACGTTTTGACACTATTTTATCTGCGGCCTGACCCAAGGTCGCCAAACTGAAAAGCCATCACAAAATTGCTTATCAAAATTGATTGATGAAGGTTTTGAGAGCAACCGGTCCAAAGTTTTCTCAGCATGGGATCATCAGCATACGTCGTGATAACATCGGGTCATTTCGTGACCTTTGTCCTCGCCCTCAATCATCGAATTGAAGAGCCACCCGTAGAGTACTTCCTCTGAATCCATTGGTGCATGTCTGAATCACATCTAGTCAGTGTTTTTGAATCAGGGATTGACAGTATTTTCCGAAACCCTCGTGGAATAGGAGCAACGAACTTTGCAACCTGTTTCAACCATACACATGATTTTGGGTATTTAAAGTAAAATGATAACAGAAATTATGCTAGTTTGGGAGCACAGGAATGTCAGCAGCCCACGTCAGCAAAAAGACCCCACGTTGAAGGGGTCGTTAGCTAATAACAATAGAACGTACACAGCTATGCATGCTAGGCTATTTCCAAGTGCAACGAAGACACCAGACCGATACGGCATGGCTCGCTGCTCCGGCGTGCACTGGCAGTGAGAAACACCAGACCGACACGGCATGCCTCGCTGCTCCAGTGTGTACTGGCACTGAGAAACACCAGACCGATACGGCATGCCTCGCTGCTCCGGTTGGCAGTGAGAAACACCAGACCGATACGGTATGCTTCGCTGCTCCGGCGTGCACTGGCAGTGAGAAATACCAGACCGATACGGCATGCCTCGCTGCTCCAGTGTGTACTGGCACTGAGAAGCACCAGACCGATACGGCATGCCTCGCTGCTCCGGTTGGCAGTGAGAATCACCAGACCGATACGGCATGCCTCGCTGCTCCGGCGTGCACTGGCAGTGAGAAACACCAGACCGATACGGCATGGCCCGCTGCTCTGGCGCGTACAGGCAGCGAGAAACACCAGACCGATACGGCATGGCTCGCTACTCTGGCGTGTACTGGCAGTGAGAGACACGACAGGGTCGCAAGACGATTGAGACAAAACAAAGCGGTTATCATTAAAACATGTATGGCGGGTACGGGTATGACGAGGTATGGCGGATACGGGTATGACGGGGTATGACGGGTACGGGTATGACGGGATATGACGGGTACGGGTATGACGAGGTATGACGGGTACGGGTATGACGGGGTATGACGGGTACGGGTATGACGGGGTATGACGGGTACGGGTATGACGGGGTGTGACGTGTGTGTAAGCTATGTATGTCTAGTAAATATGACAGGGTTGCTTTTGGAACCCCATTTATGACCTGGCAGTTGTGTCAGTTAGAAGCAAATCATGATGTTAACACAATGCTTGAATATTTCGATTGTGCTAATTATCAGAGACCGATGGCCTAGTATTTTTGTTCGCGCGTTGGAAAAATGGGCGTGCACTTTTTGGCTTTCTCCTAACAGGTAAAAAGACACCGTAAACTGATTTTGGGAACACTAAACAACATAATGACTCCCAGGAAGATTACAAAAAGAACGTAGTTAACAGATGCTCGACGTGCCATGCCCGACAACGTCGTGGCCGGCTAGACCCTCTATCGCATGAGTCCTGACCAAAGGGTTGCCAAAAGGCGACATTTATCCGAGGTAGTTCACCACCGTATCTCACGCGGAAAGGTCGTTGCGGCCCTTCCAAGATGCCAGTTAATGAAATGCAGGAGAGTGAATTACTACTAAATGTGCTAACTGAGAGTGGCATGCTTAACGCCTGACTTTAAAAAAGCCGAGGAAAGGTTTCACTGTATATAACTTTCTTGTGCTATGCATTTTTGTTTGTCTTCACACAGAGATTATGATATATTTTGTTTGATGAGGGATCACTCCGTCTACTTTTATTGACAAGTACGTGAGTGCTTGGAGTTATTTAATGACGGACGTATGTTGTTCTGTTTCAGTGATGTCAAATGCGGCACTAGCGTGGAAAGACTTGTTAATGTGACGCAGACCATCTATAAACTGCTAGAAGGATATGACATACGTCTTCGTCCCAACTTTGGTGGTAAGTTGCCAGCCCGTCTGCCCAGAGCATGTAGCATTCGTTTGTGTTGAGTCACAAACATGTATTGCGCAATATGTAATTTGGGTAGTCTTTGGTCGCGATGCTTTGGGCCCAACCTGCCAGCTTTTTATTTCAGATTTTTTAAATCTGGCAAATGCTCACTGTACCTCCTGAGCACGATCTGTTTTCAACCAACTGCTCACTGTCAGAATCTTCGGCCATCCGCTGCGATCATACTCGCCGGTTTCAGGGGACGAATCCACCACATAAACCCTTTTTGAATCTAAGTGCAAACGTATGAGCCGGAGGCAGATAAAAATTTCAAAATAGCATCTTGTCTAGGTCAGCGAAAAAGGAATAACCATGGTTAAAATAGTTTTAACACGTAGTTATCCTTGCGCGGTGCGATTTGAAAGTAATGCGAATCGAAGTTACTGGTTCTGTCACTGACAGCACGTGTCTCTAGATGTGTCAAGCATCACTACCCGATGCCTCGTCCAAAGAAATGTTTCGCATTGTTCGTGAATTCAGTTGAGCAGTGCATGGCTTTAAAACCGTCTCTAAATGCAGTTTTCAGTCTATTCTTTCTTATCGGCTTAAGAGATAGCCCGTGGTACAAATGTGGAAATATGTGATACACCGCGATTATGAGGGTAAATACAGTTGACAGCGATCAGCCGATGAGAATGACAATGTATCATCTGTGACAAGCATTAGCATCATTCGTGACAATTATTTAGGATCAACACCGACCGTGGCGGACTCTTAAGGCTCTGTCTTTACTCACGCCCTGAATGTACAACTTTTCGATTCATTTTCACTTCATCCAATTATATTTAATGCATGCTGCCAACTTATTTGCATATCGCATGGCTCCGGTAGATTATTTCCATATCGTATGGCCCGAAATGCCCAAGTTCTTCGAGCTAAACAAGGAATACGCGATGCCCCATCTCCGTACACTCACAACAACCCAGACGTGGATTAGACAGTAGCAGCACTTAGCTTAAGCACCTCCCCAGGACACAATTGGGGCGTGGCTAGCACACCTGCTTCCCCCTCCCACGCTGCTGTGCGCAGTTGGCCGTATGTCAGCCCCTCCCCCCAAAGGTGTCCTGAAGGGCACCCAAACGTGTATGTACATACGTATGGATGCACATACATCGCCTGTGACGTAGGAGTCCAACACAGCACCATCTGCCCACCAACTGAACAAACATGGCGCCACAGAATTGCACAGACACAATATCTGAGTGCATTTCAGAAGACAACACCAACGCACAGAAGCATTCGGATCGTTTTGCATGGGCCTGATTGCACTCGAAGTACGTACTTCGCTGAATTGTTACTACAATCCTGGGCCTACCGGAAGCTAAATGGACACCATCACTCCATTTCAACGAGCGGATGTCTTAGCGCGGGTGCGCCGCCGGTGTGCCGTGGCATCGCCGGACGGTGCCGGTGCGTGACTCGCGTCACGTGACGCGCGGTGGCCGTGGCCGTCACCGGCGGCGGGCGGGGCCCGGCAGAGCTCGAGGTCCGGCGCCGGCCGGGACGCACGGCCGCACGGAGCGCGCGTCCTGAGGAGGCCCGATCGATGGTGTGCGATCGCCCTGCCGGGCGCGGCCCGACCTGAGCGCGCTGACGTAACAATTCCCGGCGCCGCCGCCGCCGCCGCCGCCGCCGCCGGTGGCGCGTGGAAACCGATGGCCCTGGCCCGGCCGGCAACCAGTCGCGCTCGGGCGGCCAGAGCTGCTGATCAGCTGCAGTTTCCAAGACCTCGTCAGCTGTAGGAAGAACGGGAGATTTCCTGCCAAGAATGGGCGGATAAATATTGGGATATAGTTATGACTTACACACACACACACACACACACACACACACACACACACACGCACGCACACACACACACACACACACACACACACACACACACACACACACACACACACACACACACACACACACACACACACACACACACACACACACACACACACACACACACACACACACACACACACACACACACACACACACACAACACACACACACACACACACACGCACGCACGCACGCACGCACGCACGCACGCACGCACGCACGCACGCACGCACGCACGCACGCACGCACGCACGCACGCACGCACGCACGCACGCACGCACGCACGCACGCACGCACGCACGCACGCACGCACGCACGCACGCACACGCACGCACGCACGTGACGCCCGGTGCCGCGGGCGTCAGAAGAAAAGGCTTTATGGCAAGGACATCAGTCAGCAGTTCCATTTATGTGGTTTTCCATGTAGCGATGCATTGCGTATCATCATCAGGACGAGTACAATGGTACAAATTCAATCAAGTTACAATGAAATGACAATGGCATGACAACGGCATGACAACGGTCACAGTTACACAACTGAAAACGACCTCTGCGCATAACAGGACAGATTAAAAAATGCAAAAAAGTCACGCGACGAAATATCCTTCGGATTTCATATGAACAAAAGACTATCTTATGATTCGCAAAGGGTATGCAGACCCCATGATATTCAATGACGGCTTGTGTTGGGGAATATGAAGCGATTCTAAAATCCTAGTATCATGAGAATGGCTGCAACGTCCTAAAACGAAAAAGTTATCAATGTTAAAGTGAGTGTCACACGCAAAGGAATGGTCTCGGATGCGTTAAGAGTCTGGGTTAGCCAGAATGCTACCTGTACGGTCAGACCTTCCCCAAAGTTGCTGCACCCTCTAATGCAAATTACAAAGTTTGAATAGCATGGGTTAAACCCACATAAGATGCTCCACACGAAGGACAACAATATTTATAAATGACTGCAGAGACAGAATATTTGGGAAGCTTGTCTTTTAACTTACAGAAAGATCAAGCAGTAGAAAAGCGTTTTGTGCAAGATTTTTTGGCGTTTGTTCTGGAGAATATTTTAGAGCGCGTTGCGCAAACGAAAGGATGGCGGCCGTGCGGTAACGCCCTGGGCATCAACTGGCGGCATTCACGTATTTACCAGCGGCGGTAGGTTTACGGTGCACTTCCATCACAAAAGATTCGTTACTCGCGTCAACAGCGATGTCAAAGAATGGTAAACGGATGTCGACACTCAGGTCAATTGTAAATCGTAATAGCGATTGCCTCTGCATAGTGACCTGCAGTTCATGAAGGTGGGCCTCGTCTCCAACATCAACAAATATGCCATCGACATATCTGCAGTAGATATGGGGCTCAAAGTTCAGGCTTTTGAGGGCATGGTTCTCCAGCCAGCTTATGTGCATAATAGCGAACAAGCACCCGAGCGGTGGCCCCATCGCGGCACCACCCACTTGACGGCAGACTTTTTTCGTTTGGGCAACAAAGGGGCTCCTCTGTGGTGCAGAATCGGCGCATTTTTTTCTAGGATGGATCGTGACAGTCTCAATGGTGGCAAGGCTGACTGATTGTGAACGCAGCCTAGTATAATTTGCATTGTTCTATCAACAAGCACGCTTCTGAGCAAACGTCCCACGCCTTCTGAAGCAAGTAAACCACTAGGATTGCTAGCCTTGCTAATGTCAACGACCTCTCTTCTTGATTTCGCGTTATGCTCTGCCGGTGTATAGGGTTCAATCATGCCATTTAAATTGCCAACTGATAGCTAGGCGTGTGGAGTTGATATTTATTTGGTCTCATGGAGCCATCCGCGTTGTGTGCTTTTACATTACCGTAGGCATGGTCTGGGTTTTATTCACCGGTGACCTATACGAAGTGCTGCCCGCCCACTAGCTTAATAGTTGGCTGTATAATCTGTTAACTGATGGCTCACGTTTGATTGTGTATTGTAAAGCGTGCCTCGTATTTTTCGTCATTGTGGAATGATTTTCGTCCAACGGTCTTATATTGCTTTCAGAAAAGAAAACGATTGCCATTGAAACCTTAGCTGGCTTAAACCAGCAGAAATGATCATAGGCAAACTGATTTATGACTTACCGAAAACAACAAATGATTTAATTCGAACAGTTCAGCAAACGCACAAGAAAAACTTATTAATTGTACACCTCCCCGTATATAATAAAATTGGCATTAAGGACAGCATATTGCCTAAGTACACGAAAATAGGAGATGCATTTATATATATATATATATATATATGTGTGTGTGTGTGTGTGTGTGTGTGTGTGTGTGTGTGTGTGTGTGTGTGTGTGTGTGTGTGTGTGTGGTGTGTGTGTGTGTGTGTGTGTGTGTGTGTGTGTGTGTGTGTGTGTGTGTGTGTGTGTGTGTGTGTGTGTGTGTGTGTGTGTGTGTGTGTGTGTGTGTGTGTGTGTGTGTGTGTGTGTGTGTGTGTGTGTGTGTGTGTGTGTGTGTGTGTGTGTGTGTGTGTGTGTGTGTGTGTGTGTGTGTGTGTGTGTGTGTGTGTGTGTGTGTGTATCATGCATGCTCCACTAAAAATGATTGCTGACTCAGCATTGAAAAGCTTTTTATACATCATTCTAGTTTCCGGGCTTTTTTACTTAGCGTTATGGTTTAGATGAAAGCTGGTTCGCACAACGTCACTCATATGTTCGTCGCTGTATGCATTGTTACGTTTCGAGATCTGACCTCATCGCCGGGGCAACTGCGATGGCGCAAGAAAAACGCTCGAGTTTTAACGGATGAAAACTGTGCGCCACTATTGGAAATCATCTTCTGGTATGGATGACGCAAATAAAGCATGACTTATTGAAATGAAACATAATCCTTCTTTACTTTGATGCATATTAAGTACATTCATAATGGGAGCACCACAAAGACGCAAACATATTGTCACGATCAAATCAGTAGCGCTCACCGCTCACCACTTGATAGTTCAAGGGTTGTACCAGGATTTGTTTGCCTGTTAAGGGCTGGGGAGACTTCGCTAATGTATTTGGGAAAGTATATTCGTTAACAAACTCTCTTCAGCCCTAAACAGACAAACAAATTCTGGTACAACCTTTGAACTATTAGGTGGTGGGCGGTGAGCACCA